GACCAGAACCATACAAGGACCAGAACTATACACCAAGGACAGAACTATACACCAGGACCAGAACCATGCAAGGACCAAGACCATACACCAAGCCAGAACTATACCAAGGACCAGAACTATACACCAGGACAGAACTATACAGGACCAGAACCATACACCAAGGACCAGAACCATACAAAACCCACAGGACCAGAACTATACACCAGGACCAGAACTATACCAGGACCAGAACTATACACAGGACCAGAACTATACAGGACCAGAACTACACAGGACAGAACCATACACCCAAGGACCAGAACCATGCACAAGGACCAGGGCACACACAAGGACCAGAACACACAAGGACCAGAACCATACACCAAGGACCAGAACCTACACCAGGACCAGAACTATACACCAGGACCAGAACTACACCAAGGACCAGAACTATACACCCAAGGACCAGAACCATACACAGGACCAGAACCATACCAAGGACCAGAACCATACAAGGACAGAACTATACACCAAGGACCAGAACTAGCACAGGACCGAACTACACACCAGGACAGAACTATACACCAGGACCAGAACCATGCAGGACAGAACCATACACAGGACCAGAACCATACACAAGGACCAGAACCATACCAGGACCAGAACTATACACCAGGACAGAACCATACAGGACCAGAACCATACACACCAGGACCAGAACTATACACAGGACAGAACTATACAGGACAGAACCATACACCAAGGACCAGAACCATACACAGGACCAGAACCATACACCAGGACCAGAACCATACACCAAGGACCAGAACTATACACCAGGACAGAACCATACAAGGACCAGAACCATACACCAGGACCAGAACCATACAGGACAGAACCATACACCAGGACCAGAACTATACACAGGACCAGAACCATACCAGGACCAGAACTATACACAAGGACCAGAACTATACACCAGGACCAGAACCTACACAGGACAGAACATACACACAAGGACCAGAACTATACACAGGACAGAACCATACAGGACCAGAACCACCAAGGAACAGAACCATACAGGACCAGACATACACCCAAGGACCAGAACTATACACCAAGGACCAGAACCATACACCAAGGACCAGAACTATACACCAAGGACCAGAACCATACACCAAGGACCAGAACCATACAGGACCAGAACTATACACCAGGACCAAACTATACCAGGACCAGAACCTACACCAAGGACCAGAACCACACAAGGACCGAACCATACACAAGGACCAGAACCATACACCAGGACCAGACTATACACAGGACCAGAACCATACAGGACCAGAACCATACACAAGGACCAGACAACACCAAGGACCAGAACCATACCCAAGGACCAGAACTATACACAGGACCAGAACCATACAAGGACCAGAACTATACACAGGACCAGAACTATACCAGGACAGAACCATACCAGGACCAGAACTATACAGGACAGAACCATACAGGACCAGAACCATACACAGGACAGAACATACACAAGGACAGAACCATACACAGGACCAGAACACCACACCAAGGACCAGAACCATACACAAGGACCAGAACCATACACAGGACCAGAACCACTACAAGGACCAGAACCATACACAGGACCAGAACTATACACAGGACCAGAACTACCCAGGACCAGAACTATACACCAAGGACAGAACTATACACCAGGGACCAGAACCAAGGACACAAGGACCAGAACGTGTGTACGTGAGGCAGACAGAGGTGGGGAAAGCGATCAGGAATGACTCGTGTTGGTGTAATACGGTCAATCGTTCTCGCTGTCAAGGTCTGCTCCCTAGTACTGTACAGCGTGAGTACCTGCACCTTCACACACACACACACACACACACACACACACACACACACACACACACACACATAAGTAAAAACACAGGTACTTCATGTAAGATCTATAGACGACATAACTGGTAACTTTGTTCTTATTGTGACTAGTTATTCAGCACCTGAGCTGAATATAGAGTATTCTGGATATGGAGTTTATTATTATTATTATTATTATTATTATTATTATTAATATTATTATTATTATTATTATTATTATTATTATTATTATTATTATTATTATTATTATTAATATTATTAATATTATTATTATTATTATTTTTTTTGTCATTATTATTATTATTATTATTATTATTATTATTATTATTATTATTATTATTATTTTTTTTTTTTTTATTATTGTCATTATTATTATTATTATTATTATTATTATTATTATTATTATTATTATTATTATTATTATTATTATTATTATTTTTATTATTATAAATTATTATTATTATTATTATTATTATTATTATTATTATTATTATTATTATTGTTATTATTATTATTATTATTATTATTATTAACATTATTATAATTTTTATTATTATTATTATTATTATTATTATTTTATTGTTGTTATTATTTTTTATTATTATTATTATTATTATTATTATTATTATTGTTATTGTTATTATTATTATTATTATTATTATTATTATTATTATTATTATTATTATTATGTTAGTATTATTATTATTAATTATATTTATTGTTATTTATTTGTTATTTATTGTTATTATTATTATTGTTTGTTGTTACTTGCTACTACTACTACTAATAATAATATTAATTGATAATTAGTGCATTAGTAGAATTGTTTTTTGTTATTATTATTACTATTATTATTATTATTATTATTATTGTTTTTATTATTATTATTATTATTATTATTACTATTATTATTATTATTATTATTATTATTATTATTATTATTATTATTATTATTATTATTATTATTACTATTATTATTATTATTATTATTATTTTATTATTATTTTTATTATCATTATTATTGTTGTTTTTTTTTGTTACTACTACTACTACTACTAATAATAATAATAATAATAATATTATTATTATTATTATTATTATTATTATTATTATTATTATTATTATTATTTTATTATTATTATTAATATTATTATTATTATTATCGTTAGTATTATTATTATTATTATTAATATTGTTATTGTTATTATTGTTATTGTTATTATTATTATTGTTGTTATTTACTGCTACTACTACTACTACTACTACTACTACTAATAATAATATTAGTAGTAGTAAAATTAGTAGAATTGTTTTGTTATTATTATTACTATTATTATTATTATTATTTTTTATTATTATTATTATTATTATTATTACTATTATTATTATTATTATTATTATTATTATTATTATTATTATTATTATTATTATTATTACTATTATTATTATTATTATTATTATTTTATTATTATTTTATTATCATTATTATTGTTGTTTTTGTTCTACTACTACTACTAAATAATAATAATAATATTATTATTATTATTATTATTATTATTATTATTATTATTATTATTATTATTATTATTTTATTATTATTATTATTATTATTATTATTATTATTATTATTATTATTATTATTATTATTAATATTATTATTTTATTATTATTATTATTATTATTATTATTATTATTATTATTATTATTATTATTATTATTATTATTATTATTATTATTATTAATATTATTATTTTATTATTATTATTATTATTATTATTATTATTATTATTATTATTATTATTATATATGCTGTTTCCCCTCTCTTACATCAATAAACCCTTACATAAGACCCTCACCCAAACCTGATGGCGGCGTCAGTGTTGTTCGTAAAAATTAAAGGCACATTGAAATCTTCCGCAGAGGATTTTTTTTATAATTTATCATGTACGACGTTGCCCTCTGTTGCCTAGCGGGATGATAACGACATTCAAGGAAGAGTGTCTGGTTCATGGTGGTGGGTGGAGGGGCAGGAAGGGCGAGGAAGGAAGGGGGTCTGTTTACGCAGGCGTGACGAGATGTGCGCGTCAGTGTCAGGCAACATCCGGTGGTCCCAGATGCTCGCCCTGCCAGACTCCAGCCTATGGGGAGATTCCTCGTGTCTTATTGAGAACTTCGCTGTCGCTATGTGGCTGTACGGTAGTGTTTAGTGTAAGGATAGTTATACATAGGGGGAAACAGGAGACTGTACATAACCTGGATTTAACTTCCAATTTTATAACGTGGAAATTATTAGACAATACCACTGATATTAGATGTAGCGTTTGACCTTCTAAGTAAGTTAAAGAATGTGACGGTGCATCTCAAGGAGAGTTCAGGGGCGCTCGGGGGGACGCTGTCGTGTACCCTGTCCCCTTAACTGGGTAGAGGGAGATGTTTAAATGTTTGTGTTCAACCTGATGGATAGTTATATTTTACAGACCCGCCAACCGATAATATTATCATTTTGTAACAATTGGACAGTTTTGGGTCCAGATCCTCAATGAACCGCGTACAACAACAACAACAACAATAATAATAATAATAATAATAATAATAATAATAATAATAATAATTAACGGATTATTGAAAGAACATGGCATCCCAAATGGCTGAAAATTTACTGTACAGTCAACAGAGATGATGAAAGTTACATAATTGGGGAATGGATCACTTGATTGACAAATTATATACCCCGGTAAAAAAAAATTCTTTCAGGAGAGTCCGATGAATTTTGAACTGAACAATCTATACGCAGGGCGACCATTGCGAGGTATGCCTCAAGGGCCAGAAGGTCATACTACGGAACATTTCAACACAGTAACAAAACAAAAGTAAGATTAGCAGGGAATGAACACACTGGTTAACTACGAGTTGATAATTTTTACAATGTTTGGGACTGGGCTGTTCTTTTAGTGTCCATCAGCAATTCGCGTGTGGTGAAGATGATGCTGAAGCTTCTCCCAAAATTTGCAGATGAGGATGATGATGGTCAGGAAGCCGAGAGGGTCAGTGAGTTGAGCGCTTCTTGATATGTGGAGTAGGAAGGGGAGAGAATAATTTTGCACTTTTCTCGGTGTTTACGTTGTGTGGCATTTAGGGAGGAAGACCAGGTGGGGAGGCTAGGTGAGCTTGGGAAGTATGAATGTTGTGTAAACACTGAGGAACTCAGGTGCAGGACTCAGGGACTTGAGTCGGCGGAGGAGGTGGAGACGGAAACTGGAGGATTTGACAAATGTACTGTATGGATTTAGTTTGTTGTCTATGGTGACGCCAAGGAGCTTAGTGAAGTCTAATGGTGTGTTGGGACCTAAAGTAATGGAGGGAGGAGGGACATTGTGTGTGTGTGTGTGTGTGTGTGTGTGTGTGTGTGTGTGTGTGTGTGTGTGTGTGTGTGAGACGGTAACTCTACACCCGTGTCGGCTGCTACTAAGAGAGGAGGGTTTCGTTGCCATGATGTACTGCGTAGAAAGCTGTATACCATGCCAAGGTCCCTCACATCCCTCTCACCACTCTCACCTCTCCTACTCTCTCTCTACCTTATTACCACTCTCACCTCTCTCACCACTCATCTCTCTCACCACCCACACCTCTCTCACCCTCACACCTCTCCTCACCACCTCTCTCACCACTCCTCTCTCACCACCCCCCTCTCCACCACACCACTCTCACCTCTCTCACCACTCACACCTCTCTCCCTCTCCACCTCTCTCCACCACTCTCCTCTCTCCCCACTACCTCTCTCCCCACCTCTCTCACCCTCACACCTCTCTCACCATTCACCTCTCACCCTCCACCTCTCTCACCACCTCACACCTCTCTCACCATTCCCTCTATCATCACTCACACCTCTCTCCCCTCCCTCTCACCACTCCACACCTCTCACCACTCACCTCTCTCACCACCTCCCTCTCCTCCCCCTCCCCACCTCTCTCCACTCACACCTCTCTTACCTCACACCTCTCTCCACTCCCACCTCTCTCACCCACCTCTCCCTCACCCTCACCCCCCTCTCTCACTCATCTCTCTCACCCTCACACCTCTCTCTGTCCACACCTCTCTTACCCTCACACCTCTCTCACCACTCCCCACCTCTCCCACTCCACCTCTCTCACCTCACACCTCTCTCACCACTCCACCTCTCTCACCACTCACACCTCTCACCCCTCACACCTCTCTCCCACCTCACCTCTCTCCTCACACCTCTCTCCCCTCACCTCTTTCCCACCACTCACCTCACCACTCACACCTCTCTCACCACTCACACCTCTCCCCTCCACCTCTCTCCCCTCCCACCTCTCACCCCACACTCCTCTCTCCACCTCCTCTCTCCCACTCACCTCTCTCACCTCCCCTCTCTCCCACCCTCTCACCTCTCTCCCCTCACACCTCTCCCACCCTCTCCCACCTCTCTCACCACTCACACCTCTCTCTCTCCCTCCCCACCTCTCACCCACTCACCTCTCTCCCACCCACACCTCTCTCTCACCCTCACACCTCTCTCCTCCTCACCTCCACCCTCTCTCCACCACTCCCACACCCCTCTCACCACTCACACCTCTCTCACCACCCACACCCTCTCACCACTCACACCTCTCTCACCACTCACCTCTCACCACTCACACCTCTCTCACCTCACCTCTCTCACCTCCTCACCTTCTCACCACTCACACCTCTCTCACCACTCCCTCTCTCACCTCTCCACACCTTCATCACCACTCACACCTCTCTCACCACTCCACCTCTCCTCACCACTCCCCTCTCTCCCCCTACACCTCTCTCACCACTCACTCTCTCACCACTACCTCTCTCCCCCTCACACCTCTCTC